ACAACTAAGGTTTTGAGAGAGTCAGCCCTTGTGTCTCACGCATGAGACCCGTCTTCGCCCTTTTGTTATGTATTTACATTTTGTCAGGTTGGCGAAATTTTGAATACGTCTGTATGTAGTTTTGCTTGGCTGACTTAGATTTGAATGATCATGTCTGTACAGTACTTATGTTACTACACTTTCTGTTGTGAGTTATTAACATATGTATGTCTGGAATGTTATGATGTGCATATAAGCACGACTCTATGGACAAAGTTTTAAAATTGCTTCCGTTTGGCCCCTTTTACTCTGATGAGTTTTGTCTTATTTGGTTTGAGGCCGTAGGTAATCTCGTGATTACTGGCCGGTTATGGCCTTAACCCAGAGGGGCGGGTTCGGGTCGTGACGCCATGTAACCAAATATTAATTAAAAGTTTTGAACCTCAACATTATGGACTATATATTCATTACTATTTCCATTTTTCTATTATGCATCTTTATTTCCTTATCGACATTTTCCAACAAAAATGTGCAAATGAACTATCCTAAAAATACTAGTGGTTGAGAAAAGAAAAATAAAACAAAAATACACTATATTTCCTTACAGAAATTGTAATTTTGAAGTACAAAACTTTTAGAGTTAAATTTAGTTGGTTTGAATTCTATAAGATTAGAAAACATTTTTATTAAACTAACATATGTTAGGTCGCTAAGCTACTCCCAATTATCCATTACTTTTGAAAATTTGAAAAATAATAAACATCTTGTATGATTGGGCAATAAACTTGACAATAGAATCCTGTCTTTGCTATTAACAAGTCCATTATTTTGACCACTTTTGCGAATGTTTATTTTTACTTATCAAGTATCATAATAAGTGTACTAATAAATGAAGCACAAGAGAGTTTCTAGTGAAATAAGCAAAAGGATTGATACCTAAAAGAATTGGGAATTTTTTGTAGGGCTTTAGGAATAGGTATGAGTGACCAACTTTTCAACGGATAATTAACGCCCATAAACAGTTGCACGAAGCCATTGACTATGTGCATGCCACCATAGGGTCCCTTCTTGTCCTATGATGTTGAATCTGTAAGTATAGTTATTTCCCGGACGTATTGGACATTGTGTTACATATTCAGGTCCATCTGCCCACGCACTCAATATTTGAAAAATTCCATGCCTGCATATATGAACACATACTCATATCAAACTTAGGGGTTATTTAGAAAGTGCTAAATTAACATACTTTTTGACTTTTTACGAAAAAACGTAAAATATTGGTTGAGTTTGAAGTGATGTAGCAGAGAGGTAATGTGACCCAAATAAGATGATTGTGACCTAAATAAGATAATGTGTTAAAATAGTATGTGTTGTTTTAACACATACCAAACAAGCACTTAATATAAGTTAAAAGCAAAATAAATAAAAAAAAAACTCAATGTAAATTAAAAATTTATATTACCAATGAATAGTAAGGTTGTAAGGTGATTTGTTAAGGACATGAACAACAAGGGTGTCTCCCTCATGAGCCAATATTGTTGGGCCGGGAGGCCTTCATTTACAGTAGTGATTACTTGATTGCGACATAGTCGTTGGAGAGTCATGTCTTTTACCTGAAACAATACAAATGAAATAAGCTATGCTATCAAATTTAAAATTTTCAAGTTTAAGTCATCATGCACATATTGAAGGAAAAGATTACAAAGGGCCTAATTTTTCGAAAGCAAAATATTGCGAGTACGATAGTTTATTTTAGGCAAAGAGAAGCACCAGTAACTAAGCAAGAGTAATAACTTCTTGTTAGTCTTGTGGTATAAGAAGAGAAAAAAAAAACATTTTTAAAACGTAATAGTGAAGTTTTACATGTTGCTAATTTTTTTGTCATGATTTTATATCACTTCTATATGCTGTGAAAAATTTTAGGGGAGCAGAGATAAAAAAAATAAATAAAAAAATAGAAAAGTAAATTAACCGATGTTTGAACTAAAATGAGAGAATAAGAAGCAATGCACGTTAAAGAACGTGTCATCCTCCACAAGAAAGGCTTTCAAAAACTAGTAGGTTAAGCATGCCTGACTCAAAAAAAAGTGCACATAATAAACACAACTAGAAGTGAGTCCCATAAAAAGTGACAAAAAACCAAAGATTGAGAAAAGTTTTAAAACAGTTAAAAAAAAAAAAAAAAAAGGTTTTAAAAAATTATTGAAATGGGCAAGACAAATTACTTTGAAAGAATGCTCCACAATATCAGCAGAGGTAAGTGAAGCAGCCAGAAGAGCTAAAACCCAAACGAGGAAGAACACAGGACGTGCCATGCTAATTGACTGAACAATAAATAACAGAGAGCTAAAAAGACAAAGATCAAAATAATCTCTCTGTCTGTCTCTTTTATGTGGGAAGTGCTCAAGATTTTTGTAAGTGGCTTTGTATTTCATACAAGGATGTTGCGTGTGTTTGTCCTGCAATTCCTTTCCATATATATAGTAGTTGGGTATGTAGATGGATAAGCCTTACCCTTTACCTATAACGAGTAATTTGAATTTGAATATGTCCATCAAGAAAACTTTGTAATAAAACAGCTACAGTTGACAATAAATTAAAAAATATATAAATAAATCCCATAGTCATAGCATGTTAGCTGTTTATGCAATTACAAGGGGTTTGATTGGTGTAATGTCAATCCTACCTCGTCAAATGTTTATTTTGTCCTCATTTTAGTGGTTCTTTTGAAGTTATAATATTACACTACTAAACAATAACAGGTCTATTTTTAATAAGGGTAAATTACATATACACCCCTCGAGGTTTGGTTAAATTACAGATACCCCTGAGGTTTCGAAAATTACATCCCGCCCCCTGAGGTTTGTATTTTCATAACAATTTACCCCCTGAGGTTTATATTTCATACCAAATTATCCCCTAATTTCTTATGCAAATATAGCATTCAGGGAGAAATTCGTAATTTCTCAAACTTCAGGGGTATTTGTAATTTAGCCAAACCTCGAGAGGTGTATATGTAATTTGCCCTTTTAATAATTCAAATAATTTATTTCATAAAAATTTTCATATAAATCATACCCACAAAATTAATTGAATCTAATAATTAAAATCTATCCAATTTATCATATGTCTAAAAAAAGTAAATGACGTTATTTTTTTTATTTAAATAATGATAAAATATAACATTACTTTTTGATATGTCTATGTATAAGAATTGCTTTGTTAAAGCTGGCTTGTCTTTTCATTTCCATTTTATCCTTCGTTTTTCTTTTATTTTACCATGTGCACAATTGTCCTCTTGTGATGACAAGGCACACCCACGTAGATTACCACAATTATTATTTTGTCCAAAAAAATTAATTTCACTATTGTCATAATTTTTATGGTATTTACTTTAAGGGTTGGGCTTAGGGGTTTCGCTACAAGAAAAATCACTTTTGACGATTAAATTTTTAGTCGTCAGAGGTCCAGTTTTAGTCACCAAAAGTCGTCTTTTTACCTTCCCCGACTAAATTTTTTAGTCGCCGGTTTTGTCGCGAATAAACGGTCGTAGAAGGTTTTGGCGACTAAAAAGGTTTTAGTCGGCAAAAAGACAGGTCTTTAGCGACCAAAGTTTTGGTCACGCCAATAGGGTTCACACCTGGCCGGAAAGCATTTCCTTCAATATACCTGTGACAACATTTAATCAATTAGCATTTCACCTAGTGTTGGGTAATTGCAATTTGCTTGTACTGATTGAAGACAGAAACTCACATTTCTTTCAAGAAAGTGTGCTTATAGAATGCATTTGGGATTCTCCCAGTAAATTGATTATGATCCAGGTACCTGCAATGAAAGCAAGCTTAAGATGCTGTCCCAGATACACAAAAGCACAAAGATGCAAAAAAATGGGAAAAGCAAATTAAAGGGAAAAAAAAGGCATTAATTGTGATAAAAACAACAGTTAAAAGCCATGAATCAAAGCCATAAGGGATGAGGAAATCTTCTCAACATTGAAGATTGGGTCACAGATGTCAAGGAACGAAACAAAGTGTATCAATTAACTAGGAATCCTAACTCAACCTTGGTTCCACTAACAAACTTGTCCTGCAAATCCAAATAACTTTTCAATATGCAATTGTAATATTGACCACTAGCAAAATTGCCCGTGCCTAAAGGTACTTCATCAGTAGGGAAATAACACCAGCCATTAGATTTATTCAGTCTTAACCCAAACTATAGCACACAACATTTTTCAAAAACTGATGTATTTTATTATATAGATTTTTCTTGTCCTTCTTGTCATGAAGACATGATATGTGACTATTTCAAACCATACAATCACATCAGCCAAATTGTGATCCAATGAATAGTATGCCCAGAAAGTGTAGCTAAAAAAGTCCAAACTTAAAATCCGAACTGCCAAATTTATGTGTATTGCTCTTAGAAAGAGGAAATTCCTCTAGATACATTGCAAAAATAGAACTTCTCATACATAACTGGATCACATTTGTAGAGTGGACAGAAAAATCAAAAATAAACTTACAAGGAATGATATGCTGTAGTATGGTGTAGTATGCTAACAGTTTTTCATCCGTATATAACAAAGAGTTTTTCATCAACAACAACAGTTTTTCATATATAACAAAGATCTCATCCGTATGCTGTAGTATGCTAACAGTTTTTCATCAACAACAACAAATGAGTATATTTGCAGGTACATTAATAGGATTTTAATCAAATAATCGAAGTATTTGGTTGGTTACTACCCTTGCATTGAATGCAACAATGTATTGCATCTTGAAACAATCATTTTGAGGACATTTACCCAACCTGGTTTTGCAGTAAAGCTTCATCATTAAGCAAGAAATGGTTTGAATGTCATCAACACCCCGATTACTTCGATTACATTCAGGAGGAAGAAAACCATCTGGTCACCTGCATTCAGATGAACAAATACAACTAAAGAGTGAGCATAAACAGCAGATATGAGATTTGCTATCTGAATAAGAACCTCCATGATCTGCAAAATTGTGGGGGAGAAGAGTCAAAGAAAATTCAGGGTACAATATGAGATTTTACTACTAAATCTGATCTAACCATATGTTAATGTTCAATCATCATATATTTTGCTGAAATTTTAAAGAGTAAAGAATTAGATTTAGGCATGCATGCTAAAAAACAAGTGGCCAAAAAAGTTACCCAGAATGCATTGGATGCCTTGCCAAGTATGCAGTACTGATAGCTTCTCTATCATTTTCAGAGACCTGCATTGTTTATCAAAACAAAAAATATATTTGAATTTAAGTGCTCTAATTGAGTTCAAAGGGGGATAGAATGCATTGAGAGTAGACTAACAGAAGTAGCAATCGAGATCAGAATGACACATCATCCAAAAAAATCATTAACATACAGAAACAACATCACCGTACAGGGTTATAATTAAATCAGTCCTATCCTCAGGATCTTTTGCTACAAGCAAAGAGCATTTTGGATTAGCTACAAGGTCCTGCAAAAAATAGCGAGTATCAACTAATTAAGTAACTTTCCATAAACTAGAAGATCCTAAAAAAAATTTAAATATAAAAAATGCTGCAAGTATTTCATAGCAAAGTTTTAAAGTCCTATGCTAATAAGGAAAAATAATACAGACAGGACACCTGTGCTAACGAAAAATTAAGTGATTACAATATTCTGAATTTCAACTTATCGAGCTTATCACTAACATATAAGAACGCACATTCAAAAAGACTCCAAACCAAACCAAACTAAACCATGTATCTTAATCAAGTAATGGTCGGCTACATGAATCCTTTTTCGCCATTCCGCCTTTTTAAGGACTATATGCTCAATAAAACAACTTAAATTAAATAAATGCATATCAAGTTTATCACTAAAATATAAGAAGGTGCATTTAAAAATAATGAATTCAAAAATAAATTTACCTCCCAAGCATCACCAGAAAAACTAATCCTAATAACCAAAATTTAAGAATTTTCTATTCCAAAGAGCATTCAGCATTACTTTTGCTGTCTCTTAACAAACAGCTAAACAGGAATTGAGTAGGAATATAAAATTTACAAGCTCCTGCAACTGTACAGCTAAACTTCGATTGTAGGATTCTACCTGTCCTTGTGAACCAAAGAGAGAGACAATTCACAGTCGTGCACATCAAGGCATCTCTTTGGATGCCGCCATTTAGAACAATTTTCAAGATATATATATATATTATCCAATTAGTACACATATGATAACAAAATTCAAAATTTTGCCAACCTTGGTATGAACTGCCAAGCTGCTGATTGCTAATATTGGAGATCCATAGGCATCACAAGCGAAGTCAACCATTGAACCAGATGGATAACCCTCATACTTCTGCATGTTAAAAAGGAATTGCGATAATCTTTGAAAATAATGGATATAGCTGACTGAAAATAATGAAAATAAGTATTTCATTTTTATTTTTATTTTGGATGAGCAAGTAATAAGTATCTCATGACAATCAAATGGTTAATCAAATTCATAATTTGCAGGTTTTCTGATGTACATGGAAAAACTGAAAAGTCAAACTCAATATTCTCTAGTAAAAAAATAAAGAAAAGTACAAAAGACTTTGAAGGGAATTGAAACTTCAGAAAAAAACCAAAGCACTGTAAATTTATAGTTATCACAGCCAGGGCACAAGTCAGTAGACAGTGAACTTAAACTGCGTATACATTATTTGGATCCGACAACTTCGGACTCACTTTTTGTGTCTGTGTGTGTGTGTGTGTGTGTGCAAGAATTCATTTATGCTGTCATGGTTTATTTTTATTTTTGAAAAAACTTTGTTAGTACTTTACGCCAACATAATTTTCTCTGTGATTACTATGCATCAATTTGTCAATGCTCTATGCACAACATGAAACAGCAACATTCACTCCGAATGTTTTTTGTACCTGTGGAATTCCTTTGCATGCATTGGAAAACCTCTGCAGTTGTTGCTTGTCTGTTTTTTGTATCAAGACACTAAACAATACTACAATTATTTTTTTATAACGTATATATATTATATACAATAATTATAATATATGCAAGCACTATTTTTTTCTCTCCGTATTTTCGAATTAGATCCGAAGAAAAAATGATGATCAAATATTTTAGCTCTGTATGTAAGAGAGGATATCATGTTTTAGTCCATTAACATGAAGTCGTAGAGTGGGTAGGTACAATATACATACGTATATTACAGCTTCATCATCTTCCATTGTAGACCATTGGAGTTCTCTAGTTCACTAGACAAACTATAATTTCAGTGCAACTATCAAATTACAAGTGAGCCATATGTCTTGATAATAAATGAGCTTATAAATGCGGCATTTTGGTAGTGACCCTTTTGGGGCATTGTTTCATCACATAAGTCTGCTCTTGAGGCGAGGTTCAACTGTAAACACTTATTCCTAATTCTCACAGCTTCAAAGGGGGGGCAGTCAAAGCATGCAATACATGCCTTGACATTGAGATGTCAGGCATAAACATTAATAAGAAACTTTGGCCCCTGATTACTAGCTTAGCATTTTACATTATCCTTCTTTCTTTAGCATTGTTAATTTATTATTGAGAATTTCCCAATTATAATGCAATTTCTGTTGACTACTGGCTATTTTGGTTGAAATATAATATAAAAAAGTATGCCCAGTTAGTCTCTGTTAGATGGGGGTCTGGGAGAAGTAGATTATAATATCAGAATATGATAATTGAAAGAGAATATAGCTGTTTCTGTCTTAAGGAGATTCAAACTTGAGACTCTTTGTTGGGGGGAATGCGGCCTAAACCTTAGGTTTCTTAAGAATTTGTACCAATAGAATTATTGGCCATATATGACGTCAAGTAGTTACTACTAGCTACTATGCACAGAACATGCAATTTTGAAATCAAACTTCATAAATGAAATGCTACAGAGAAGAATAACAATCCCTATTAAACAAGTTCCTACATCTGTCAGTTTTCTTTTTCTTTTTTTCCTTTTTTTTTTTGTGTGTGTGTGTTTGTGGATAAGTTCTGTTTTTTGTTTTGTTCTACTTATTTCCTTCCAATTTCTAAATTATTTTTAGTTCCAATTTCTAAATATAACGAAAGATAAATGATGGAAAAAAAAAAAAATTTAAGTCAATACCCAAATTAACCAATAGACAGACTGCTAATCACTACTGAGTTCCCCAATTAATGTTTATCATCTAAATAAACCAAAATATATTTTGATACATAGAAATTGACATAATGGTGAATGTATCCTCATATTTAGAAGCATTATAGACAAAAGAATATAGCTACAGAAAAGTAAAAGAAACCAAATTCAAGTAGATTCTCATCAGTATATTGAGTAAACAAATCTAAACAGAGTTGTTCAATACAAATCTAACAAGATCAAAAACGAACAAACATGTAAACAAATATATTAGAACTTACCTCCAATGAGAAAGTTAGGGTTTCCCCCTCATCTCATGCCTTTTCATCTATTAGAAAACCCTCAACCCATTTTAGAGAAACCCATAGAAACCATTTGAAATAAACAGATCAATCTAATTTTGTATAAACCCACTTTAAAACCACTTGAGAAGATCTCTTTTTATCAAAAGTAGAGTACTCATGCCTAATATTCACAGGGTGCATATTAGGCATGAAAGCACTTGGATTCACAAAGCATGAGAGCATTCTTCATAAAGCCATTTCAGAAAACAGAAAGCATTTCACTCAGAAAGGAGATCAAACCATTTCGAATGTTGTGATGATGGTGGTCCGACAATGATGGTGGTCTGATGACCGAGCGAGAGAGAAACAGGGTGAGCTTGAAGAGATGTCTCCTGTGAAAACCTCAGAGCTGGCTTACTTCTTCAGGTAGAAATCTTCTCTTTGATGTATTACAAGGTGGAATTGGCTTTGTCAGCACCTATTCATCCAAGGATTGTAAGTTGTCCTAAACACCAAACAGCATCACTTTCATCATTTCAATAGTTAAATCAAAGCAAAATGAAGTGGATTGGCCTATATAAGATAGAAAAAATGCAAAAAATGAAGAGTGGAGGAAAAACAATGAAAGAGTAACAAAGTCTATATAGACCTAAGACTAAGATTCTATAAGTAACACATAACAAAGCACAATTTACAACATAGAGGGAATGATAAAGTGTAACTAAATTGCAGGTACAATAGGCAGGTGTCTAAATCCAATATTTTATTTAATGGGCTAATAGATGGAAAAATTATGAGCCCAGATGAGTGAAAACTTGTTTCTCCCCACATCTGAAATGTTTCTACTAAATGTGTGAGACAAGATGAGGTGATTTAACTCATGAGAAATTGTCTTTAATTAGTTGAGTATGCAAAACTAAAATGTGAATGGATATTCAATAAGATGATAAATGCTTTACAGGATACTTGGGATTTTAGTCATTGATGGCCAATCTTTTTTGAGATCCCACAAACGAGTAGTCATGATAGGTAGGAGACCTTACCTTTGCTCTCTTAAAGAATGATACAAAATCATCATCTGCAAGATGCCCAATACACCATTGAACCCATATAACATCATACCTTCCAGCCTCTGGAGTGAATTCCTAAAACCAATCAAGATTTTAGTTTCACTTTATTTAAAAATCCATAGACAAAACATTAGTGTCATATGTCTCATCTCAAAGAATATTACAAAAATCAAGCCATTGGGCATAAAAAAAACATAATAAAAAAGAAATAAAAAATAAATAAAAGTTACCGGCCATGGCAGATCAACCTAATTAAAAAAAATAATAATGATTTTAACACCAGATAATCTACCATACACTAACCTAGATAAACAAGATAAGTGGAAACTTAACATTAAAGATTAGGCACTACAGCACTGCCATGAATAAAAACCAGATGAGGCACTACAGCAGCCCTTCCAAGCACCAAAACAGATCACGAAAACAGAACAGGCAGAGAAGACAACCAGCCCTTTAAGCAGAGAACCAGAACAAAACAGAACTGGC